AAAACAGCATTACGGTGCGCTGAACTTTCTCATGTCGTGGAATTGACTGGGATGCGCGTTTCCAGTCATTATAACCTTGTTTTCCAAAACGATGCTGTCAGTCATGAGTTTACGCAAAACAGAACACGACATGTTTGGATGGTGAATAGCAGAGCCAGTTTCGAGGATGTTGCTGTTTTGTAAGCTCATGTGTGTACGTGAACAAAGTTTTTTGACATCGTCTATTGTAAGCATCTCCCTCATATCTTGTTGATGTTGCGCTGAAATCGGCATCGGAATTTCTGCACTGACTACTCCCTTGACCTGCCCAGTGCTCTCTCATATTGTCAGAAATATCAGTAGGCCATAATCCCAAATCACAAGAGTATCCATCATTGTTATCAGTGGAAATGGACGTATCACCAGATGTCAACTCCTTGGATGTGTCGCCGGTGTCGGGTTCCTCAACTGCTTCTGCCATTGTTGTCATCGCTTCATCTGCAGCAGTCAGCTCAGAAGAACCTTCATCAGCCTTCGGAGAAACAGTTCCGATATTTTCGGCATTTTACTTAAAACTTTACTTTCCTGTAAAATTCGTTCATCCTTTGCCTTTTGCTGCTCCAGATGCATATTTGCGATTTTTGTCGCGGTCGCGGTTACCCCACTGGTGGAACTCATTCTTTAATTGTTAACTATATTATAGCAATTAGCAAACCTAAAATTTGAAAGTGACGTTTTAGTAATATTTACTTTCACAAAACATAGAAGGACGATTTGACGGTTTACTATCGCACATACAGAATTGTGAGAAAATAAATCAAACACGCATACGCTTCTTGGGCCTTTGGAGCTGCCAGGAATTCAGGACATTTTGAAATATATTGTTATTTCATATAAATCGGCAATTTATATATGAGGAATAAACATGTAACCAAGGAAACGTAAGAATGCAGACGGCTCACGGCAGTTAGTAAATCATCAAAACTTACCAAGCGTCGCCGTCACTGCTTCAGCATTCAGCCAAATACCTTGAATATCTCCAGTTTGAATTTGTCAACAACACTTACAAGTCACAAACAACAGCAATCTCAAAATTATCAAAATGAATCGAAAAAAGTCTGATAGTATTCAATACGGTTTGAAAGTCGAGACTACAACAATATCGAGTTGCAATCCTACTGCCAGACGAAAGACTTTATGTAATATAATAGGTGTAGCTAAATTAACGGAAACTGCAACATGTAATATGACGATACAAATGGATCTCCTATCCCATTGCAAAATATAGCCTATATTTTGCCAGTGAATCATTGATACTTGCAGTGTTACCGTTTTGGAATTGGCCTCACGCTTTTATATTTCAATTAGTCTTGGCCGTTTCGTTTTATTTCCTTTTTCTTTTTCAAAGGCAAGGGGGCCCCTAGAAGCGCGGGCCCGCAGCATATGCCGCTTCTGCCATATGGTTAATCCGGCACTGC